CCAGGAGGGAGGCGGAATGGAGGTGGACTAGGGGGAGGGACAGTGGGCCAGGCCCGTGTAGGGGAAGAGGACCTGGATCCTGAGGCGAATCATGGAACCAGGGTGGAGCGTAAACCCACCAGGGCGGAGCAGGTGGAAAAGAGAACCACCACTTGAGAGGAGCTGAAGTAAATGCCACCGCCTCAGGAGGTTCTGCAGCAGAAGCCGCCACCTCAGGGAGGAACTTCAGCAGGCCCTGAAGGCTCCTGGAATGGAGCGGGCTCTGGAGGGGAGTCTGAAGGCTCCCGGACTGGAGCTGGCCCTTGAGTGGACACTGAAGGCTCGGCCTGACCTCGCCCAAGTAATCACCTGAGACTTACGAGGGCCTGTGGAGCTGGCTCTTGAATGGACTCTGAGGGCTCCCGGACTGGAGCAAACTCTGGAGTGGACTCTGAATGCCCCCATGCATGCAGAACAGTCCAGGGGCCAAAGGCAAAGATCGCTTTCCTGACTATGGCAGCAGCAGTGAAATTGGACGGCTCTGTGGTGACCTCTGAGACCACCAGAGTCGGGTCCTCCAGGACCACCGGACTCGGGACTACAGGAGTCGGGTGCTCCAGGACCACCGGACTCGGGACTACAGGAGTTGGGTCCTCCAGGACCACCGGACTCGGGACCACCGTAGTTGGGTCCTCCAGGACCACCGGACGCAGGACCACCGGAGTCAGGTCCTCCAGCACCACCGGACTCGGGACCATCGGAGTCGGGTCCTCCAGGACCACCGGACTCAGGACCACCAGAGTTGGGTCCTCCAGGAACACCGGACTTGGGACCACCAGAGTCGGATCTTCCAGGATCACTGGACATGAGACCACCAGAGTCGGGTCCTCCAGGACCACCGGACTTGAGTCCACCTTGTGAAGAGGCTCTGGACTGGCGGCCATCTTGTGATGAGATTCGGAACAGGCAGTCATGTCAGGAAAAAGCCCCTCCGGTTCAGGAACTGACAGTCTCCCGTTGTGGGCTAGAAAGTCCACAAACACCCCAAAAGGCAGGTGCTCAGTGTCGTATCTCCTCCAGGTGCTGATCGGCTCATCAAGGGCATAAGAAAACAATTCCTTGAGAGCCGCATCATTATACTTCAGCCCCTCCGCAGCAGTCCTGAATTCCAAGGTGAATTCCCTCAGGTCAGTCCCCCGTTGCCGGAGGGAACTCAATGCCGATAATTGGAGCATACGTTGGTAGAGGGGGCTGCTGATAGTGGAGGCTGGCAGTAGGAGGTTAACCATTCTCCGCGGAGTCCTCATTTGGCTTCTTCGTTCTGTCATGGTACTGGAGAGCGATGAGGCGAGGACTCAAATGCAGGAGAATAATGGGCCTTTTTAATAATAAAATGAAACAAAAAAAACACAAACTACCCCGAGGGGGAAAAACAGGCATGAAGGCCAGAACAGGGCATAGCAGGTAGAGCTGGCCCAATACCAGAAACACACAGACATACAGTATCTGACTACATACGACAACGAAGAAGCACAGGACTGCAAGCACAAGGAAAATAAATAAGGAGACAATTGAGGAGGGTAATGAGGGAGACACAGTTGGAGTAACTTAAACAATAATGAGGTGACAAGATGGGAGGGGACAGACAATAAGACAGGAGAGAGCACATGGCACCAAACAAACACAGCACAAGCCATGTGCTCACAAAAATCCACAGGAGTGCCCTCTGGTGGCCATCTTGGGCACTCCAGCTGCAGACCGTGACACAAATGCTGTACAAAAAGGCCTTGTTAGTGCATGAAAAATAATGTACACAAATTGAACCTTACTTTAAAATGTTACTGACCTTTATTTTCTTTTCTTTTTATAGATTTTCATCAATATTTCATTTAATATGTTTATTAATCTGTTTTCTTATCCTTGTGGGGACATTTGGTCCTTACAATGTAGGTAACATCTGACACACACATACATACACGCATACGCACATACAAGCACAGAGGTTGAATAGATCCTGCATTCACATTCTAGCAATTATTATTACATATATTATAGTTCACAGATCAAATAGAAAATTCTAATTAATTTGATCGGGACAAATTAATTGGCTCATACAACAGAGCAGGCCAATTTACAAAGCAACACCGCATCACATTAGAGGACACACACACACATAGTAGAAGAGACGATAATCTATAAATAGCGAGGGCACAGTACGACTCTCCAGGATTGGGTAGATTACAGCTGGACTGCTGTGCCTAGCCATCTTTTTGTGTACATACAGAATTAACCAACCCCCTCCCTCCATCCATCCCTCTCTCTTTCTCCCTCTCTCTCTCTGCCCAAATTTCCTCTTGTGCCTCATCTCCCTCCCCCACCTCTCATTTGCCCCTTTCTTTCACTCTCTACATTCAATCACATTCTGTTTCTTTTTGAATACTAATTTACTCATTGTTAAACAATTCTGAAATTCTCAACCCCTCCATCTCTCTCTGGCTGAACTCAAGGAAAAACGGATTGACCTTCCCTCCTTTATACCCATTCTGCATAATTGAGCTTATGACAAATACATAGAGAAACAGCCCTGTGCATGTATTATACATGAGAAAGAGAGAGAAGCAAAGATAAAGACATAACCTCATAGTAATTAAACGAATATGCAGGTCAGGATGGAAAGAAGGAAAGAAAAAAGCAGAGTGATAGAGATAGAGTTGGTGGCAGTGATCTCCAGATAACAAAGCCACTCCTCCTGTGTGTGTTTTTGCCACCAAGACAGAGGGAGGGACCAGAATGAACAGAATGACAGGAGAGAGAGAGAGAGAGAGAGAGAGAGAGAGAGAGAGAGAAAGAGAGAGAGAGCGCTTTCGAATTTTGAGAGCCTCACATGAATATCATGTGGCTATATCGCATGATTTTACAGTATTGCGGTAATGAGTGTTTGTGCGAGTCGGGATCAGTGGTCAGGGCAAAAAGAGAGAGAGAGAGAGGCATCTGTACTGCATTGTGGGAGCTGTTTGAGCCCTCTAGTGATACAAGGCGAATGAATCCCAGCCAGACAGCAGTGCACAGTTGCGGCAATAACAATGAATCCTGTATGACACACACACACGTAAATGCACACAAACAAACAAAAAATAAACTTTTTGTATTTCCAGTTCTCTGTGAGATTAGGATTTTGAGCTATTATCTACTACAAATAAACCTAAATAAAATGATTACGCATTTGTAACCCTAATGAAGTGCATAAAATGAATATTATACCTATAATTTGTGATTATAACTACATCAGTGTCATAATAAGTGCTCATTTCTGACACACTGACTCACAGGCTAAGAAAGACACCCTGACTGCACAGAGAGAGAGCGAGAGAGAATGAGAGGGGGAGAACGAGAGAGAGAGAAAGAGAGGGAGGGAGGGAGGGAGCAGCATGAGTGGAGAGAATCAGCAGTCAGAAAAGAGAAAGCAGAGAGAGGAGGAGAGAATGTATGGTGAAAGGCTTGCGCTTCCTTGCTTCTATCCAGGGCCTTTGTGAATAAACCATGGGATGTATTGGCTCTCGAACCCTGAGTAAGACCCTCTTCTTTTCTTCTACTTTCTGGCAGGGTGCACGTGAGTGGGTGTATTAAGTGAGAGGGGTAATTACAGTGCCGGGAAGGGGGTTGCTGGAGTGTGGTTGGCGATCGTTTGGGATGTGTAAAACGAATTTGGCTGGTGGAAGGATATGTTGAGTTAAACGTCTGAGCTGTCATATTGTGTGTTCACTGCCGTGTGCAGGCATGCGTGTGTGTGCGTTTGTGGGTGTGTAGATTCCAACCCACATCTCTTGATTTATGCTACTGCATGGTGTCTGTGTGTGGGAGGCAGAGATGATGGAGCGATGAAATGCAGTGATAGAGCTTATTCACGGCATTTACGGAGGGCGAGAATTTCTATTGTTGGAGATGCTCTTGTGGTATCGTGTTGCACATTGAAATCGGCTGGAAAGTGAGAGGGAGGGATAGCAAACATGCTGAATTTCATTGCAGTGAGAGGGAGATGGAGAGAGGGATGGAGGGAGGGTGATACATGCAGGAGAACTGAGGGAAATGTGTGTGACAGAGTGGAGGGAATCAGGTTGGGACCATCCTGAATCCGAAACACACTTGACGAATAAGTCCAAATAATAAGTCCTAGCTGGATCGGTGGCACATTAATGAAAGAGCTCACTCAGAAATTAAAATTCTGTCATCATTTACTCACCCTCATGTCGCTCCGCAACATAAAATAATATATTTTGAGAAATGCCTCAGTGTTTTGTTTGGGTCCATCCATTGGAAGTCAATTGTAAAGTGTTTGGTTGCCAGCATTCTTCAAAATATCCTCTTTAGTGTTCTTCAGAAGAAAGAAAGTCAGGAATGGCATGAGGGTGAGTAAATAAAGACAGGTTCTATTTTGGGGTGAACTATCCCTTTAAATGCACCTTAAAGTGAAACGTAATCTGATTTAGAAAGAAATTAGGTATTTTAAAAATACTATAGGGCATTTCAGAAAAGATTGGTTGGTAAATGTAGGCTTGACATTAATAGAATCGTTTTTAAAAGGTCTGTGGTATCAGTTTCTGTATTTTATTGGTCTGTCTGTCCTATTTTGTTGACCAAGAAATATGATCTAATATTCTTTGACCTCAACTTTAATTCTTGTAATGTACTAATTTCCATCCATCCATCAATTTATTTATTTATTTTAGTTAGTTAGTTTTCATGTTTTTTATTGTGTTCATATTTTTTTCTATTCCTTTTAAGGAAAAATTACAAAATGTAATATGTACAAGTTTTGGAAGATACTCATATCTATGTTTTTTTTTTATATTAATGAACTGAATATTAATAATATTGTATAATATTTAATTTATAATACTTAAGAATGTTGTATCATATGAATAATACTGTATAATATTAATTAATTATTAATTATAGTGATGAATGGAATCCAGTAAAATATAATTTAAAAGTAACATTTAGGTGTTACTTTTTACACCTAATCCATTTTTAGGTGTTGATGGAGAGGTACTTGAGCCTTATGAATGAAGCTATGGTTGGGAAACACTGTTCTACACACTGTCCTGCATTTTGACATAGTTTGAGTTTCAGATGCATTGTATCCTGAGAAGTGGTGCAGAACAAGCTGACTTTGGCCCAGAACAGTCACGCACATCAACATCAGCACTAAAGTACATTAAACATCAGATGTAGAAACTGTGTCAAACTTCTCTTGCTGGGCCACCTGCCGCACATCCACACAGAGAGGAGGAAAGAGAGCGAGAGAGAGGCAGGGGGAGGAACGGAAGAGAGGAGGGAGGAAAAGGGAGGAGGGTTTGATAAATAGTGTTTATAACACAACGCAGCACTAAAATGGAGGTCAACACGCTGTGTGGGATCAGTATATATTCTGTTTTGAGGTACATAATCAAGCACCGGAATCAATTCAGCCGAACTACTTATAACATACTGTGAACCTCATTTGAATATGTGGTTCTGTACTATGAGATTAAAATGCTATTTCCATAAATGTGTGTCTGTCCTTCTGATGGGTCATCTGATGTGTCATCTGTTTTTATTTGCATGGTTTTTTTTTTATAAATGCTGCAGGGGAGGCTTCTTCATTTAATTTTGCTCAGAATCATACAGAATCTAACAACAAATCAGTGATCATTAAAATTATAAAAACCTTTTAGAAAATGCACACAAAGTTATGTCAAAATGCCCCTCCTGGTGAGTACTCATTTAAGCACAGTCGGTTATGTTTTAAATGAATGAAAACAGTAGGGACAAAAATGGATGTGCATATTGGACCCATGCATTCTGTCTTATCAGAATCAGAAAGGGTATGTTTGCACATACAAGGAATTTGTTATAGTGTCACAAGCATCCGGTACATGGAGACAACAACAACACACTGATAATAAAAATAAGATGTGACTAAAATACACATGCATAAATATAAACCACAAAAAAAGAATACATTGTATGTACAGGTGTGCTATAGATAGAATAGAATAAAATAAAATAAAGTTGTAGGGATGTACTAGGGTTTAGGGTGATAAATAAGTATAAGGTTATTGCACATACTTTAATTGCACAATGGGAGAACATTAACTGTTCATGAGGTAGATTGCCTGGGGAAAGAAACTGTTCTTGTGCCTGGCTGTCCTTGTATTCGGTGCTCTGTAACGCCGACCAGATTGCAAAAGTTAAAAAAGGAGATGGCTTGGATGTGATGGATCCAGAGTGATTTTCTGAGCCCTTTTCCTCGCTCTGAATGTATACAGTTCTTGGAGGGTAGGCAGGGGGGTACCAATAATCCTTTCAGCAGTCTGAACCGTTCTCTGTAGTCTTCTGATGTCTGATTT